TCCCAGTTATCATAAAATCTTCATCCTAGTAGCTGGAGACTGATTTTTAAATCCATGAGAAAGGTACTATTATTAGCTTCATCTGAGAAACGTAACCACAGAGAGATCAGGTAACTGGCCAAGATCAGCCATGCAGCAGGTGTTAAAGCAAAGATTCCAACCCAGGTAATCTGTTTTCAGGGCTCACAGCTCCTCCACTGGTACCAAGAGAATGCTCCAGCAGTTCAGGGAACAGGTCAGTCAGAGTTCAAGTAATTGTGCTAGTTTACTTGTTGCTCTATAACAAATTACCACATACTTAGTTGCTTAAAACAACAAAAATTTATGATCTTAAAAATTCTACAGGTCAGAAGTTCAAATTCAGTTTCACTGGGCTAAAGTCAAGGTGTTAGGAGGGACTGTTTTCGCTACAGGCTCTAAGGCATGGGTCCCCAAGCCTTCTGCGGTCTGTTAGGAGCTGGGCCTGGAGCAAAACTCCCCTGAGCTCTGCCTCCTGTTGCCTTGCCCTGCTCAGGGGACCAGCTAGGGATGCTCAGCTAAGACCTCCCTCCTCACCCCCACCCCACCTTGCTTTTCACAAAACCAGACCTTGGTGCCAAAAAGGTTGGGGACCACTATCTAAGGGGGAAATGTGTCCTTGTCTTTTTCAGCCTCTAAAGGCCACTTATAAATCTTGGCTCATGATTCCTTCTTTGTATCACTCTACCTTCCTGTTTCCATTGTCACATCTACTGTGACTTTGACCCTCTTGCCTCCCTCTTATAAAGACCATTATGATTACTTTGCACCCACCTGGATAAACCAGGTTACTATCCTTATATCAAGTCCTTCTCAATCACATCTGCAAAGCCCTTTTACCATATAAGGTAATACACACACACACACACACACACACACACACACTGGTTCTGGGGATTAGGGCATGGTCATCTTTGGAGGATCTTATTCACCCTGTCACTGTTGTGGACACTATAGGGCTAAAACTTATGCTGCTTTAGGACAAAAAAAAAAATTAGGATTAGTGTGGAAAAGAGATCTCCCAAGTGAACTCCACTGTAGTCTTTTCTGTGCCAGGATAAGTACTAGGGCCTGCTAGGGGTGCTGGGACAAAATACCAGCTTGGGTGGCTTAAAAAAGAGAAGTTTATTTTCTCACAGTTCTAGAGGCCAGAAATCTGAGATCAAGGTGTTAGCAAGATTGGTTTCTTGAGGCCACTCTCCTAGGCTTGCAGATGGCTCTGTCTTTACCCTGTGACAGTCATCTCATTGTGTGTGCACATGTCTCCCATCTGTGTGTGTGTCTAGATTTCCTCTTGTAAGAACACCAGTCATAATGGATTAGGGCTCATCCTAATGACCTCATTTTAACTTAATAACCTCCTTAAAGACCTTATTGAACCCATAATAGGCTTTAACATGTTGACTCCCTTTAATCCTCAGACAGCCCAGGTTTGGCAAATGAGAATATGGTGACTGAGGGTGGTTTGTCACTTGCTTGAGGTCTCCCAGATGGCAAGTGTTAGAGGGACAATTCACACACAGGCCTATCTGCTCCAAAGGCCAGGTCCTCAGCATCCTTCCTAACAGCTGCCAAGACCCTGCAGGACACCTACTACATTAGGCCATGCTACCAAGACAGGGAGTCATAGCAGCTCTACCTAATACATAGAAACAAACACAGGGAGGCTGCCAAAATGAGGAGACAAAAAAAATGACCCATGTGAAGGATCAAAACTCCAGAAAAAGAATTAAACAAAATGGAGATAAGCAATCTATCAGATGCAGAATTCAAAACACTGGTTATCAGGATGCTTAAGGAACTTAGTGAGGACCTCAATAGCACAAAAAAAGATCCAGTCAGAAATGAAGGATACACTAATTGAAATAAAGAACAATTTACAGGAAAACAACAGTAGAGTGGATGAAGCTGAGAATCAAATCAATGATTTGGGAACATAATGAAGTAAAAAACAACTAATTAGAACAAGAAGAAAAAAGAATCCCCCGAAATTAGGATAGTGTAAGCAGCCTCTTGGACAACTTCAAGCATTCCAACATTTGCATCATAGGAGTTCCAGAAGAGATTAAAAGCAAGAAATAGGAAATCTATTTGAAAAAATAATGACAGAAAACTTCCCAAATTTGGTGAAAGAAATAGACAATGCAAGTTCAGGAAGCACAGAGCCCCAAACAAGATGTATGCAAAGAAGACCACATGAAGGCACATCAATAATTAAAATGCCAAAGGTTAAAGATAGAGGGACTTCTATAAATCTATGAATCTTCTATGAATCTTGAATGCAGCAAGAGAAAAGCAGTTAGTTGCCTATAGGGGAGTTCCCATAATACTGTCAGCTTATTTCTCAGGAGAAACTGCAGGGTAGAGGGGATTTGCAAGAAATATTCAAAGTCATGAAAAGCAGAGACCTACAGCCAAGATTGCTTTACCCAGCAAAGCTATCATTTATAATAAAAGGGCAGATAAAGAGCTTCCCAGGCAAGAAAAAAACTAAAGGAGTTCATTATCACCAAACCATTATTGTATGAAATGTTAAAGGGACGTATTTAAGGAAAAGAAGAAAATCAAAATTATGAGCAATAAAATGGCAATAATACATATCAACAATTGAATCTAAAAAACAAACTAAACAAACAAGAAGAACAGAGACAGCATATGGATATAGAGTGTTTTGATGCTTAGCAGATGGGAGGGGGCTGTCAGGGAATGGGGAAGAGGTGAGGTGTAGTTACAGAATATCCATGGGGATGTAAAGTACAGTATAGGAAATACAGTACCCAAAGAACTTATACATATGACCCATGGATATGAATCATAGTGTGGGGACTGCCTGAGGGAGTGGGGGTTGCTGGATGGAGGGAGACAAAGGGGGAAAATTGGGACAACTATAACAGCACAATCAATAAAATATTTTAAAAACAAAAAACAAAGTTGGGATGAGGGAGGCAGTACTTGTCATAATTTTCAGACTCCAGCCAGATTTTCTGTGGCTCCCACCAGAACTCTACCCCCACCATAAACTTACACTAGCTAACTATTCAGTTTACAACTTCAAGATGACTCTAGCAGAAGACTAGGGTAAGGGCCCCCTTCATTGAATAAATTTCCCAAGAGAAGACTGGTGATTTCACCTATCTTAAGTTAGAATACCCCTCATGGCTGTGTAGAGATAGACAACCCTGATATCAGATTGGTGATGGTTACGCTTTCCAACATGGTATTCTCCCATCCCCATTTATCATAAATGGCTGCAGGAGTTTTAATGAATCTAAGATTTGTTGCATGTTAACTTACATCAACTAAGGAAAATGAAATAAAATTGAAACATTGTATTTTACCTTCTCTAATTGGAATCAGTGCTAATGGGTTAACATTTTAAAATACAGGTCTGAAAATTATGTAGATTTTGGCAAATATTGTAGTCAGTCCTCAATAGAATCATTGCCCTTTTAGACACTGGAGCTTTTTCCCAAGTGGGAAAGGAATTTTGCCTTAAGGCTTCCTCCATCGTACCGTGTAGGAGGCACTGCAGCAGGCCTCTTTGGTTAACCAGGTTCCCTTGGGCCTGCTCCTTTGCTATTTATGTTGCCCAACATTCTTCCAGAGTTGCAGCCTGCGAAAAAGCATTTAGAGATCAACATATTCAGGGATGAGAAATGATATATTTTAAAAGGCATAACCCTTTTCTAAGCTCAAATGTTTTTGCCTCATTCTCACTTCTGTTGAAGGTATCCCTTCTGCTTAACTCCGTATTTTTATTACTATATATTTTAGGAAGATTGTACATATTTTGCCAAAGAAATCTTTTCCAAAGGAAAAAAAATATAGGATATTTGTAAGACAACAGAAGGCAACATAGTTTTAAATTTTATCTCTCCTGATCCAGTGTTATAATTACATAAAATAGAAACCAACCATATTTCCCTAAAAGTAAGGTACAATGTCTCTATTTCTTCTCTTGAACTCATTGCTGCTATAGCAGAGAAGAATTATAGCTGCTCTTGTCATTAAACACTCACTGTCAGTGGTTCCATATTTGCTGAATAAACAGTTAAATACAGCTTCCTCTACCCATTGATCAGTGCCTGGTAAGCACTCTATGTCAGCTGCATCATCATTATTTATTTAGCCTTTACTTGCTACCCACAAGTAACATGCACAAATGACTGCCCCTTTTACCCCATAGTCCATGTGAACCACTTAAATAAGTAAAACACATTTTAGACTGATAGTGATAAGTTCTGAGGAGAAAAAACACTAAAGAGCAAGGGGACAGGAAATGTAGGTAATATTTGATATGAAAATTTTGAAACAGTGGCTAGGAAAAGCTTCTTTGAGAAGGTAATATTCAGGAAATGATCTGCAGTGAAGGACTCAGACCTGATTCAAGAAGAACACTGCAAAGGGAACTGTAAATGCAAAGGCCCTGGGGTAGAAGTCTGTCCAGCTATTGAGGGGTAAGGAATAAGCCAGAGTGGCTGAAAAGGGGTATGAGAAGAGGAGTCGCAGACGCAGACAAGGCAAGATTCTGGAGGGCCTTGCAGGTAGGAGGACTTTTAGTTTGTACTGAGTGCGCTGTGAGGACCCTGGAGGGTTCTGAGCAGAGGAATGACATGACCTTACACAGGTTGTAAGAAAATCACTCTGGCGGCTGTGTTGAGAATATTCTGAAGGGGGCAAAGGAGTACTACACTTAACCAATATGCCACTACCTTATAAATTACAATCAGATAAAAATGAAACAAACTGAAATTAAACTAGTACCCTGGTGATTGCCTGTCTGCCCATTCTGATTCCTATGGCTGCAAAGAGAGATGTGATCTCCCAAATAAACTTTAGGGTTGGTAACAATAGCAGTATATATGGATATAGCAGGAAAAAAATTTCATTTACTTAAATTCTCCTCAAATATATATAGGGTTTTCTGAATTACAGTTTTTGGCAGTGAGTAAAGGTCACAATAAAGAACGATAAGCCCCAACTTTCTGTGGCAGCTTTTATTTTTCCCTAAAAAGACAGTCCATTTTTCTAGAGATTCATTTAGATGAAATACATGTCAGTTTCTTTCAAAGTGTGGAACTCATACAATTCCCGTAACTACAGATTAGAATTACAATGAGCAGAACACATCAATTTAAACACTCAAGGTCATTTCAAATCCTGAAGAATCCAGGTCTTTGTGACGGAGGAAGAATTTTGCTGGTAAATAGCTGAACTAAAATTCAGGCAAATATAAAATATGTTCGAAGCCTTCATCTTCTGATTCTTAATTCTTTAACATAGTTAAGATTCTTATTCAAATCTAATTATGTCATAACAACACCCAAGAGTGTTTTGTAAAAGTCTAATTTAAAAACTAGATAGACTTCATTTGCTAATTTTCCACTCTATCTATATTTTTCTTTGTTTCATCTGTCTTCTTTTCTCTCCACAAGTTCCCAAGAATAATTCCTAAAAAAAGTATTAGCCCCACTGTTCGGTTGGAGGTAAATTTATCCCAACAATCCTCAGGTCTGTGGATGTCTAGAGCGTAAATCTGTGAGAGAAGAACACAATGCTGCATTAGTGCTAGTATGGACTTTTTGGCATCATAAACAAGTCACTAGAGAAAATATCAGCACTTCTGTTATAGAATTTTAAGCACTGGGAAACCCTTCAAGTACCCCAAATGGTTTCCCAGTGTAGACAAATCTACCATATCTCTCACTAGGCATCGTCTAACATGTGCCCTAAAGACTACCCCATGACTGATGCATGAATGAATGCTTTGAGAGGCAACCCACGCTATTCAGTTCTATTTAGAAAGCTACTTCCTCCACTAACTGGTCTAAAATCTGCTTCCTATAGTTCCTATCCTCCATTTCTAGCTTTATTCTTTGGAGCAGTGTTTCTCAACAGAAGATTAAGTCACATTTGGACAGGACAACTCTACTGTGTAGGGCTGTCTGGTGTGCTGGAAGATAATGTACCTGGTTCCCACCCACTAAATGCCTGTTGTGAGCCCTCCCCACTTTATTTATGGTAATAAAAAATACTCTCATAAAGGTGTAAATTTCCCTCCCATCCCCACACAGAGAAGGGAATCCTAGCAACCTAGATTTGCAGCTGGTGACATAGGACAAACATACTCCTACTTCTCCATGGTAGTCCTGCAACTGTATCAGCGAAGTCTCATGTCCCTATCTTACTCTTCCCCAGCAATCATCAGCAAATTGCAACACCACCAGCAACCTGCATTTTCCCAATTCTTCTTATTGTGGCCTACAGACTTAACATCATGATTTCTTTTCAAATACTGGAAGGCTATGCCCATCCTAAAATATTGTGTCAACGACTGGAAAGAGGACCACAAATGCAATTGAAAATATAAAGTGTGTTTCAAATAGTTGTAATATTTGTCATACTTTCACCTTTCTCCACTAATATCCAGGAGCTTATTAAATATTGATAAATCTCCATTATTCTGACCAGACACTCAACGGATGGTGATAATCCTATTAGAATGAGTTATGACCAAAAGAGAATGCAGGGAAATTCTGAGGAGGAAAATAATTTATATCTGAGAATCCCTAATGCATCTTTCAGCTTTCCTAATGAGAAAAACAATGAAGATGATACAGCATAGGGTTTACTTTTTAGACATCAGACTTGAGTTTCCTTCACACCATGTTATAAAAGTCTTGCTTACACGGATACTTATCAGTTACTTACTTACAATAATCCGTATAAAATAGATCATCTAACTACAGGCTAACTTTTCTTCAAAGAAAATGGGAACACTGATGCAAAAATATATCCATTTATAACCAATCTATTAGTTAAAATTAGATTTAGTTAATTCATTTTATACAGGTCAATAATGGAGATTCACAGTATCAGCTTGTAGAAGGTTGGGGTGCTGGGTGCATGCCCTGAAATGACAGCTCCCTACACTCTATGCTCTGATATGTTATAACAATTTCATGACTTATCTGGCCTTGGTTTCTATGACAGTGGGATCAAAACCTATGAATATTAGTTTGCTTTGCATCTCTGGAAGCCCACATTTTGAAATAAAGTTGTGATCAGTTGCTTTCAGAGTAATTCACTTTAACCTGCACCTTCAGACATAGCTAAAATTTTTCTAGACATAAATCAGAAATAATTCCAGAAAAATCAGAGGGGAAAAAACCTATAATTAGTTTTAAATTATTTCTCTAAAATGATATAGCTAGCTCTTTTATGTGATAAATTGTGGGAGGGGAGAGGGCAAGTCAAGGCAGTTCAAGAAAGTGTTTGTTTTAAGAAGTGCTTTCCTTATAAATACAGAGGTCGTTTCATTTAAAGAATATTTATAATTTATTGGCATACCAAAGAAAAGTGAGGGGAAAAATAAGATGGTCAAACCTGGTGAGTCAGATGAGCTCCGACAGCAGCCAGAGCAACGTAGTAGGGCATGGTCTGACCAGCGGTCACTCCCACCAGGCTCAGCGCCCCCAGCATTGCTGCACTGAAGCCACTAAGCCACTGCTTGGCATTCTCACGAAACCTCAAGGCTGTGGACTTAAGACCAATCAGGGCATCGTCTCTTGTGTCCTAACATCAGAAAGTAATAAGAAATTGTTATTTACTGACATACCACAAAATTCACCATTTTGAAGTGTACAATTCCGTGGTTTTAGTATGTTCACAGGTTGTACAACCATCACCACTATCTGATTCCAGAGGACACTATCTGTTAAAGAACATTTCTGTGTAAACATAAAGATACACCATGAACTGTGAAAGATGACAGTAACTCAGAAACGTGGGTTGATCAGTAATGAATGTGCAGGCCAAATCAAAGTCAAATGTTACTGCTCTTCCAGCTCCATTTCTACGTGTCATTGTACTTATAATCCTATGATGACTTCTAACTATACGTTCTGTACAGTACTACATTAAAAGTAAAACTCAGTTTAAATTCTCTACATAGCTCCTCTTTATTGCAGAGTTCTCAAATCTCAATAATTTCCTGTGCATTTTAGTTTTACTGTTGTTTAAAATCACAGATGTAGAAAAAGGTTCACTTATCACCCAATCACATCTATTCACACTTCACTTCAAACTCAATTTACACCTTGCTCACATCACATCCTTTCTATTAAGCAGACCTAGGTTTTGATATACAGTCACCTCTAGCTGACTGGTTTCCTCTAACAACTTTATATGCAAGCATTTCCATAGGCTGTTGTAATTATGGCTATGTGATATCAGAGGCTGCATGATGAACTCTGCACCCACCTGCAGGCAGATAAGCTACCTTTTGGAGTCTCAAAATGCAAAAATGTGGGTATGTTTCCCGTTCATACTGCAATCACCTTGAGGGTGCAAGCTGTGACTTTAATTATGTGGACTACAAAAATGTCAGTAAGTATATGGTGTGTTACGGAAGAAGTTAATCTAACTGGAGTACAGTTATCCCTAGATGCAAAATCTATAGGCATTTCTTCCAAACTGTTCAGGAATCAGGCTGATTAAAAATCTGGCAACTTTTTTGTGATAATACACATGTGGTGGGGGGAAGGAGTTAATGAGAAAAAGCAGGATGAAATCCAGATTAAAATATTAGAAAAAAATTTCATTAAGTCATGACATATTCTTTAAGTAAATGATTGAGAATACAGTCATATTTCAGAAAAATACTGAGAAAAATTTTTTATAATTCATAAACATAAAAGGAAAATTAAGAATAAACCAAAAAATGTTAAACAGATTTATTTAACTTATAAAAGGCAATATCAAAAACTATAAAAATGTTTGTATCTTTAAGTAAAACCACTCCTAAAAATTTACCTGAAAAGCTCAGTCATAAAGTCATTACTAATTAGAATAATACCATTTATTATAGGAACTCAGAAACAACTTGAATGGCCAAAATAGACAAGCTGTTAAAAAACTATGGTGTATTAAATCAATAGGCTATTATGTAGTCTTAAAGTAATAATGACAAAAAATAGGTGGGAATCTGGGAAAACATTTATTACCTATGCTGGGTAAAAAAGCTGCCTACTATTGTACAGTGATTAGAGGCATCAGCAGAAGGGCAGGCGAGGGCCATGGCTGACAGCACAGACCCTGGAGGCTGTCTGGGTCTGAGTCGCAGGCCTGCTATCTACTAACTGTGTGACTCGGACCAATTACTTCCACATGCGCACTTCCTCATCAGTATACATGAGGACAGCAAAAGTACCTTCCTCTCAGGCTTTGTGAGGGTTACATTAGTGTTTGCAAGGTATTTAAAACAGTGCCTGTCATATTGTAAATACTACTTAAATTAGTATAAATAAAATAAAATAAATGAGTTGATCTTGGTAAAATATGCACGTGAAATGGAAATATGTTGTTTATACCATGGAAGTATGAATGAATTTTTTTAGGGGAAAAAGAAAACACTTTCCCTTTAGTTTGGTTCTTAAAGTTTTTTAAAAAACCAACTAAACCAGCCCTGGCTGGCGTAGCTCAGTGGATTGAGCGCGGGCTGCGAACCAAAGCATTGCAGGTTCGATTCCCAGCCAGGGCACATGCCAGGGTTGCAGGCCACGGCCCCCAGCAACCGCAAATTGATGTTTCTCTCTCTCTCTCTTTCTCCCTCCCTTCCCTCTCTAAAAATAAATAAATAAAATCTTAAAAAAAAACCCCAACTAAACCAAAATTAAGAAAAAAAAAAAGACATTTCTTTACCTGATAGGCATAGATAGTATCATATATTAGAGTCCACATAATTCCAGAAAAATAGAGAGGCAGGCAAACTGATGGGTCACAGGAGCCCTTGACAGCAGACCACCCAAGCAATGCTCCCCAATTAAAAGTGAACCCTACAGGCAGTGAAACAGAAAGAGAGGAAAAGTTAAATATATTTCAGAGTTCCACAGGGATGGAGAGGGACACCAGCATGGGTTAAATGCTTCTGTGTATTAGGCTCTGTGTATGCTGTTTCCTAATATGTTTCCTCCTTAAACCCTCAGCTCTCTGTGATAGTTATTAGGTACATTTTATAAAAAACAGGTTCAGAGAAGTTAATTAACAATTAAAATAACATTGCTAAGAGAAAAAATAACACCCTCCCGATAAATAGGTTTCATGAGAACAACATTTATCCTACCTGGCAAGGTGCCTGGCACAGTCAATAAATGGTAGATGTTGGGGTCTGAACTTAGACCTCAGTCAAAATCCTGTGATCTGCATAGAATTCCATTGTGTAAATGTGCCACTGTTTTTTGATCCACTCATTTACTGATGGGCACTTAGGCTATTTCCAGCACTTGGCTATTGTAAATTGTGCTACTATGAATATTAGGGTGCACAGGTTCTTCTGAATTGGTGTTTCAGGGTTCTTAGTGTATAATCCCAACAGTGGAATTGCTGGACCAAAAGGCAGTTCCATTTTTAGTTTTTGGGAAAATTCCATATTGTTTTCCACAGTGGCTGCACCAGTCTGCACTCCCACCAACAGTGTACTAGGGTTCCCTTTTGTCCACAATGGAATACTATGCAGCAGAAAGAAAGGAGCAGCTCCTACCTTTTGCGACAACATGGATGGAACTAGAGAGCATTACGCTAAGTGAAATAAGCCAGATGGTGAAAGACAAATACCACATGATCTTACCTATAAGTGGAACCTAATCAACAAAACAAACAAATGAGCAAAACAGAACCAGAGACATGGAAATAAAGAACAAACTGACAGTGACCAGAGGAGAGGGGTGAGAGGATAACAGGGGAAAGAAGGGAAAAGGGCTAGTCAAGGACCATACATAGAGGACTCATGGGCATGGACTGTGGGATTTGGTGGGGGGTGGGGGGAGGAAGGGGTAGGCATTAGCAATGGGGAAAAAGGTGGGATGACTGTAACTGAACAATAAATAAAAAGTAATACTAAATTGTTTTACACCCCCCCCCCCAAAATCCTGTGATCTTTTCATTATCAGTCTACTTCCTCTGTAAGCTATAGAAACAAGAGTATTGATGAGAATCATTATTTATTTCACAAGCCCACCTTCTCTGAGGACTGTAAACAAACACCTACTTGCTGACCATTCCTAAATCTCTATGTGCAAGTCTGATCACTTCTCTAAGCGTCAGACTAGATACTGAACTATCTGTTAGATGTCTCTACTTGCAAATCTCTCTGATACTTCACTCAATGGGTCCCAAGCGTCTTTTCTCAGAAACCCTCTTTCTCCTATATTAGCCTATTTCCAGTCAGAATCTCTCCTCAACTGACAGAGGGCTTCTCCTTTGTGGTCCCACAGCACTCATGCCACTACACTGCACTGCAATGGTCTGTTTATCACTGTCTCCTTCAAGAGGTGAATGTGGTTTTTTAATTTTAGAGAGGGGAAGGATGAAAGAAAAACACTGACTTCCATATGCACCCCAACTAGGGACCTAATCCGCAACCCAGGCTTGTGCCCTGACTAGGAATCCAACCAGTGATCTTTCGATTTGTGGGATGACGCCTAACCAACTGAGCCACACTGGCTGGGGCAACATGGTAAATGTTTTTCAGTCACCTTTTATTTTCCTAGTACCTGGTGTGATTCCTGGCACAAAGAACAAGTCAGGGGTTCAATATATATTTAAGTATACCAGCTGTCTTAACATTATCTTAGGGACAGGAGATGCTTATTCTCCTTATACCAAGATTCCCAGGTCAGTTAAAAATATAATGGCTTTTTTTTTTTTAAATAAAAAGAAACACAACATTGAGAGGATCTTAGAAAAAGATTAGTATTCCACCACAACTTTCCAGTCAGGCTCTCATCAATTTCTTGGAGTATCTGTAGGTTCTTCTTTTATTTACTGAAAAAAAAAACCAACCAAAAAACAAAAACAAAAAAACAAACCCAAAACAAAAAACACAAAGAACTTAATAAAAGACTAGTAAATATTTTATCTTACTCTTTCTACTAATAAACATTTATCGAATTCCTGCAATGTACCCAATGCTATGTTAGATGCTGAGCTATCCATCTGTAAAGAATGCTTTGTCTTTTAGGCATTTACAATTTATTTCTGGGGAGGCAGAGGAGGCTCTCAATCTCTGTGCCTTCTTGTTGCATTAATGCAGTTGAAATGAGGTCACCAGAGCACTGTGGGAGCCCAGAGTGGTGTAACTTTTTCCTGGGATGTCTAAGGAAGGCTTCACAGAAAGGGAGCTCAGAAGAGCTATCACATATACTTTATTTTAACCCTTGTTCTTCTGCTCAGAGTGCTTTCTATTCTAAAGTCTTCAGGGCATCTAGATCAACCACCTAAACAGAGAGGTAGGGTCAAGACAGCTCATCTTTTTCTTCGTAACATACCCAGATTTTTTTTGTCTATTGTTTTAAAATAAATTTTGTTATTTATGCTACTACAGTTGTCCCAATTTTTCCCCTTTGCCCCCCCTCCATTCACTCTACCCCTTCCCTCCAGCATTCCACCCCCTAGTTCATGTGCATGGGTTGTGTATATAAGTTCTTTGGCTTCTTAAATTTCCCATACTATTCTTAACATCCGTCCATTTTGTACCCACCAATTATGCTTCCCATGTCAAGTCACTTCACCCACTTCCCGTATGTGACAGGTGCCCTTCCAGCTCTTGTCCTGGTGGTGAATCCCAGAGTGGGGGGGGCTGCCTGTGTTCTAAGTCTGTGCAGGCCCTTTAAACAGTCTCCTGAAAATCAGGCAGTTTCTTCCATCGCCCCAACCCCCACTGGGTTTTACAGCCAGAAGTTATGGGGATTTATCTTCCTGGTGCTGGAATCCTGGACTGGGGCTGGGATTGCTTGCTCCTAAGGTGTTATCCCTGATTTTTATCCACCATATGTTCTACCACCACTGCCTCTCTGTGCCACACAGCATCTCTACCCCTCCTACCCATTTGAATGAACGTGGCTTCTTTAAATCATTGGTTGTCGGACTTCTATACAGCTCAATTTTCTGATGATTCTGGGTGTTACTTGTTTTGAGGTCTAGTTGTAATTCTTCCTGTGGTTGTGCAAAGAGGTGAAGTGTGTCTACCTATGCCTCCATCTAGACAGAAGTCCCTATACCCAGATTTTTAAAAGACCATTGAGAATAATAATGATGATAATCTTAATAAATATGCAAGATTTTTTACCCAATAGAGATGGCTAACTGTCCTCCTTTAATACATGAAAATCTATTCTTGGTTTGGAAAATTTCATGACTATACTGACATTTTTTATCTCTGCCCCATTATATATGCATGTATAATATTATATCTAAAAGCACAGTTTGAAGGGCAAGGGAGAGTAATGGGGAAAAATGAGGACAACTGTAACTGAACAATAAAAAAATTAAAAAACCATAAAACTTAAATAAAATAAAATAAAAGTATAGTTTGAATATATAAAAGGAAATAGTTGTAGTCAGTTCAAGCTCACCCAAGGCTAATTGAGGCCAGTACGTAATTCTTTTCATTAGTGGATAGGTGATGACAAGAAGTAGGGATGCTGCGCCAAGAGCTATACTGAAATCAAGAAAAACCATTAAAAATATTAACATCATCATGCCTTACAAATCACTAAATAAAACAAAAGTAACACTAATTGTGAAAATAATTTATCTTAACAACTATATTTTTTGTTATGTAAAATTCTCTTCCTGGACTTTGATTAAGACAAAGGATGATTAAAAACTATTTTAAGTGTTGTAAAATAACCAAACACGGTAACAACAGCTAACACATGTAATGCTTTCATGTACTAGGCACGGCTCTAACCACTTTACAAATGTTGCTTAAGAGGCAGGTAGTTTTATTCTACTTGTTTTTTTTGCAGATGAGGACACTAAAGCTTGAAGAAATTAAGTAATATGCCAATTGTCATACATCTGGTCAATAGTAGGGCCAGGATTCAAACCTAAGGCAGGCTGGCTCCAGAGTCCAACTAATTACCCACCATATGTAACTGCCTCTCTAAATTTTGTATTCAAACGTTAAGACAGCTAGAAACTGAAACGTCCTAACAGAGAATTAGAGTCAAGATATTCAACCCTATTTGTACAATGGATGTTAATTCTCTAGAAGAGGATAAGGTCACAGAGTCCCTATGAAAGGAGAGTAACATAAGATGTTCCTAGGTACCTCAAAACTCTCCTAACACCACTCCCTAGGAATAACCTTCTGAAGTGTTGTCATGTGACTGATGCTGGCAGGGCAAGGTACACAATTAAGTCTAGTCCTTATAAAGTAATGTTCATTTGCTGACCTCCGCCTCCTTTTTTGTCTTATTGAAGCACTTTCCAAGCAACCTTCTGATGCACAGAATTTTGTCTGTTTAAGAGATACAGAAATGAGTCATTCCACTTTTTTTGTCTGTCATGCATTAAAAACATAACTCTGGGAAAGACCAGTTCTTCTTTTTGAATAGTGAGTATAATCACTTCTGTTCTTACCTACTCCAGAGATACTATCAGCATAAATAAAATTATACAGGGGTGGGTAAAAACAGGTTTACAGTTGTGAGTACATAAAACACAAGGGTTTATTCTTGTATTATTATTTATTAATTATTGTATTATTTCCCATGTGAACTATAAACCTACTTTTGCTCACTCCTGTATAAATGAATATATCCACACACATCCATGCGTGTACCCAAAACAACCTATAAAGTGCCGGTGTCCCTTAGAAACATGTAGTGCAAGGTGCTTCAGAATAAATTAAATGATCTCAATTCCTTTGGCTGAAAACATACTTGATTTTACAATGTGTGGTGATTTATTTATACTTGCTAACTTCCAGACCCTCAATGGGTAGCCAATAAACAACTTTATGATAAAGCTATTTTTATTTTATTTTATTCCTATTTCTTCCATTTCAAAGGATAGATTTTATACATGATTATGAAAAACACATTCACTATACCTGTAGTAATTCAGACACAGAAGAATACTCAGTGCCAGGGTCAGCTGTACTCCGAGAAAAACGATGGACTGGAAAACTGAAATGTCTCCAGCAGCTATTGGGCGACTTGCTGTTCTTGTAACCTTAATACATAAAAACAGATACCTCAGCTTCATGTAATAGCTCAATAATTTATTTAAACATTTCATTCAGAGACTGGTGTGTGGTAAGCACCAAGGCAGAAATATGAATAAAAGGTGAAATCAACACAGGAGGTACTGCCAAGAATCAAAACTTGATATTTAAAGTAGCTTTGGAAAGAACTAAAATTTCCCAGCATTCATTCCCTTACCTCCCACCCCCAAACAAAACAAAGCTACTTCCTTATTCAGCAACTTAGCTATCTAGCTTAAATAGTAAGTGTATGTTCAATTTCCACAGAGAAAAGAGGGACAGCAACTGTGAGAACTGTCAGGAAAGAAAAATTGCAGTGCATGTCAAATAAGGCTAATATTGTGTGATTGTTTTGAGTATGGGAAACACTACAATCAGAAATCAGATGTGAAGAAAGAAGACAGATATCTGGGTTGGAGAATTAGAGGGCTTTTGCCAGCTTATTTAGGAATGCGTCTAATCTTATATTAGCTGCACCCAAATATAAAGGGCAAACCCACTGTGAGGCCACGAACAGAAAGAGCAGTTATGTGAACAAATAATATATATTAATTTATTCTTTTCCTTCCAAGAGATCATTAAACGTGATTATTATAAATTGAACCACAGGATAAAAATAACCAAAATTTTCAACATTGCTAAAAAACAAAACAAACAAGCAAACAAACAAACAAAACAACTCAGGATCTGAGATTGGCACTTAAATCCCATTCCATCACTTATTGACTGTATGAATTTTGGCAAATTACTTAATCTCTCTTGGGCTTAGGTTACATACCTGTTAAAGGAAAAACAGAGAGAGGGAAAAGAGAAAGTGGAAATAATTGCACCTACTGCACAGAGTAAACACAGTGTTTGAAGCACATAGTATTCAATAAATGTTAACTGTGTCACTAAACATAACATATTTTTGTATGATTTATATCAAGAGTCAGCAAACTATAGCCTGTGGGCCAAATCCAGCCCAGTACCTGCTTTTATACAGCCTGTGACTAAGGCAGGTTTTTACTTTTTTAGATGGCTGAAAATAAATTTTAAAAAGGAGTAATGTATTGTAACACATGAAAATAATATGAAACTCAAATTTCAGCACCCACAAATAGTTTTACTAAAACAGAAGCACACCCATTTGTTTACATATTGTGTGAGGTTGCTTTCATGCTCCAATAGAGTAGTTGCAACAAAGACAGTAGGGCCCACAAAGCCTAAAATAATTACTATCTTCTTCTTTACAGAAAAGACTTGTGAACCCAAGTCTTAGCATGTTTTACTCTTCAATAAAAACATTATTCTGTCAAACTGTAATGACTCATCTTGGTTAGAGTGCTGGAACTGGATCTTCCAGACTTGCTTTGGTCTCTAGTTTCTGTTGGAAATAATATTTATGTTCTTATATTTGTTTCAGGATATTATTATTCTTTCAGCTAGTATCTGACTGTTGACAGACAATACACTATTCTAAGAGCATCACATATGCATCACATCACTGAACCCTTATAACCACCCTGTCTATAGCCACTCACAAGGTCTTGGCATTTCGAAGTTTTAAGAAACTAAAGCAGAGGCTCAGGAACTTTCCAAAGTCACAAGGAGTACAATATCGTCAGTCCAGTCCCACTGACCATACTAACCACGACATTGTACTGGCTGTTCAGTACAGTTATAATTATCTACCTAAATTTGAAAGCTGAAAATAAGCACTCAATCAAAAGACTAAAAATTATGTAACATGATGATCAAAACATATTCTATGTAGTTTTTATGAAACTAGAATGCTCACAGCTCATAAAACCAAATCAATACCTGTACATTGATATTATTTCAATGTTTATCTGCCTAATATTTATCACATGGCTAGTAGATTACCTACATCAGCAAAACACACTTAACCTAGATACCCTAATAGCAACTCACTTAAAATCCTGACCCATGAACATATCCTAATGACATATAGCCTTTAAGAAACTGTGAGGTAAGCAATACAATGTGGCTAAGCTTTTTAACTAGTCCTTTAAAAGAGATGCATATAACATTTTAAAATTCAGGTTAGTAAAACCGCCTCAATAGCTATAGAATACTCATTTAAGCTGTTTTATGAACAGTTTGAACAGTATACAACACTTTGTTGTATGTCAATACAGAATCTGGATTCTTCTAATCAGAGGAAAATAGCATGCAGGAGATAAAGGATATTTAATCAGTTCCCTTAAATCTAGAGAGGGAAAAATATCACTTGGGGGAACTGATGGAAAAAGTTGGTTTGAATATATAATGTTTTTAATCAAACTTTTTCTTTTATGGTAACAGTAGATTCACATGCAGGTTTGTTTTTTTTTTTTAAATTCTGTGTATTTTAAAAACTACAGAGATCCCATGTACCCTTTATAATCTCCCCCAAGGGTTACAGCTTATAAAACTTTACAGTCCAACATCACAACCAGGATTTGGATATTAGGTGCTCTAATCACCTTCAAGAATTATTTTGAAGTGATATGTGCCAGACTCCTCATTCATGTGGTTATGCAGAACGAAAAACTGACTAGGATGTGTTAAGCTCCAAATCAATTCATCTCCTGGCAAGGGTCAAGGCATCCAAACTGGATCTGCAGGGAATATAGTGGCCTTTGCTGTGCAGTATCTGCTACCATCCCACCCTCTAGCCATACACAAACCTCATGATTGCTTTATAATGTACTTTATCTCATAGCTATGCCTCTGCATTTGCTGTTTCCTCTGCCTAGCAACCTCACCCTCCAGCCGCCCCCTCCCCTTTTGTTGGGCCACTTTATTCTGACACAGTTTAAAGATCACTCCCTGAAGCTCTCTCTGACCCCCTTCCCTTATGCTGAGGTAGGGGGTTTTCAGTAAGTTCCCATGTGGACACCATTCTCATGACAGTGCTGCTGTATTACAACTACGAGATGGTAAGGTCATCAATGTTATCTTTCAACCATGCAATCCTAGAACCTGTCACTGCATCTTACACAACAAGTATTCATTAACTGTTTTATGAATTAAAAAATATATTAGTGTGATACTGTTCTATACACTGACAATCATTCTAGGTGTGCCTTGCTTAAGGAAATTCAGATTTAAATGAAAGGCAAACTAAAGGTGACTATTTGTATATATGATTATTTACTTTAATTCTCCATGGGCTTCTTTTAAACTGAAAGTTTACTTGATCATTTACTCAAGCATTTAATGATCTTGTGCTTGTTATAGCATGGTTGCTGGAGTAAAAGGCAAACAAGATGGACCTTTCCCTTGAGAAAATAATGATCTGTTGAAAAACAAAGAAATACTTATACACATACGATAGAGTATGCATAGAAAATAATCCTGATGAATATAACATATCAAACCTTAACTGAAGTTTTCTCTGGGGCTTTGGGGAAGAAGATAAGGAGGACTCGCACTTCCTATCCTTTCTATTTCTGTACTGTATGAATTTTTCAGAATAAACGTGTTATTTTTCTAAGGAGAAAAAAGAATAAAATTATGTTTTTAAAAGAAATAATTGTAGCGAATACTATTAGGGTAGCCTCTGTTCATTTATACTAAGATTTGATTTATCTATGAATACTCACAGCTCCAATATACATTGCAAAGGAAGGGATGTCAGGTCTTTTATTTTTAATTACTTTATTTTATTTTTTAAAATCCTCACCTGAGGATTTTTTTTTCATTGCTTTCTAGAGAGAAAGGGAAAGAGAGAGAGAGAGAGAGAAACATCAATCAGCTCCCTTCTCATACATGCCCCAACCGGGGATCAAACCCGCAATCTAGGTATGTGCCCTGACCAGGAATCAAGCCTGCTACTTTTTGGTGTAAAGCATGACTCTCCAACCAACTGAGCTATACCAGGCAGGGTGGATGATGGTTCTTTTAGACACTCAAAGGTTTGGATGGATTTTTCACTTCACTCCTAACAAACATTTTTACCCTGGCCTTCTAAATCCTAATTCATTTCATAAAAATAAAGCACACACCCTGCCCCCATGACTGCTCCAGTGCCAAGAAAAGAAGTGCACTGCACTTTGCAACACCAGCTGTTACTGATTCAGCTGTTATTGGCACTTCTTATGCTGGATTTCAGCGAGGACACTAAATGAGCCTGCTGCCTTATGAAGCATTCAAAAATGAAGCCACCGTGTTGCTCTACAGAATTTAGATGAACCTCTCTGCTCCTTTCGATGATGAAGCTACCTTTTTATCGTAGTCCCGGTCCCACATGTCATTAATAGTACAGCCTGCTCCACGCATCAGAATAGCGCCAGCGCCAAAGAGGGATAACATGTACCAATCTGGAAAACAACCCGGTTCAGATGCCAAACCAATGCTCCACGTACAAGGCAAATAGAGCAGCCAGGTTCCTAAGCAAAAATGAAAAGACAAAAAAGGTTACAAATTCAAGTTGGTTAACTGTTTTCATTTGTTTAAATACCGCATTCCAAAGAAGTAAAAAAAACCACAAAGTCAAAAACACATGACAAAATGGGGACAATAAATTTGTAATTCATATCACAAAGGACTATTTTCCCTGATATATAAGGTTCCTAGAAACTGAAGAATCAATAAATAGTCCAACTGAAAAATGGACAGAACACATTAATAGAGGTTCACAGAAAGAAATACAAATGGCTCTTATACATATGAAAAGATAACCAACTTTGAGAAATACACATTAAAATTACACTGAGGTAACATTCTTCACCTATCAGATTGGCAAAACTCAAAGTCTGACAACACACCCTGGGGAATCAGATATTTTCATGTATTCCTGATGAGGTTCCAAAACACTGCAACCCTTATGGACTGTCCAAACCTGAAAATTTTGTGTGTATACATGCACATAAAGATAAAACAAATACATACATTTAAATGTTAGCATGTTCACAGACCATGTCAGGAAGGATATATTAGAAACTTCTCTGAGGAGGGCAACTGGTTTGCTCAGAGACTGAGTTTTCAATCTACTCTTATACCCTCTGAATTTTGTATCACATGCATGTATTACCTGTTCAAAATTTCTTTACTGCTTTTGATATATTTACAATAAAATGGTCTTGTGGTAGAGAGATTATTAACTAGTTTTTTAAAAAAATATTTTGCAACTACATGCACAAATAGGCTTAGTTCTTGGTCTTTTGTCCAAAACTAGATGAAATTAAACTAAAACCAAACAGAGCAGTCCCCTCTTATCTGTGGGTGATATTTTCCAAAATCCCCAGTGGATGCTTGAAACTATGGATAGTACCAAACACTGTAGATGCTATTTTTTCCTATACATAGGTAGCTATGGTAAAGCTTTATTTATAAATTAGGCACAGTAACAGATTAACAACAATTAACAAAATAGGACAATTAAACAACATACTGTAATAAAAGCTATGTGAGTATGGTCATTTGTTCCAGTGGATTGTAGAGGCCCAGTGCTTTCTGGCACCACACGCTGCTGTCAGCCAGGATGTGTTTTCTGTTCATGTCTTCCACTCACAAATTCAATGCCTTTTTCATCTCAACTAAGCATTTATCATACATCGTGACTGTAACTTTTGCAGTATGAGGTCCATAACTTGCAGTTTGAGGTGCAACAAACTAACACAAATTTTTTTCCTTTATAATTTCACTGACAGAAAATTCATTCTTACTGTAAATCTTAACAACCTTAGCATACCATTTCTTTTCTTTCTTTATTGAGAACTTTCATCTTTTCACTTTAAGGAAACACTTCACGGCTTCTCTTTGGCATATTAGAATTGTCAGCATCATTTACTCTTGGCTTTGGGGCCATTACTAAGTAAAGAAAAGTCACTTGAACACAAGCACTGCAAAGCAGCAACAGCTACTAAGTAACAGGCAGGTAGTGTATACAGTGTGGACAAACTGGACAAAGGGATGACTCACATGCAGGGCAGACAGAGTGGGGGATGATGCAAGACTGTATCATGCTATTCAAAATGGTATGGAATTTAGAACTTATGAACTGTTTACTGAATTATTTCTGGAATTTTCTACTTAATATTTTTGGACCATAGTTGATGATGGTTAACTGAAATGGCAGAAAGTGAAACTGCATAAAGGGGTACTACTGTAAATTGTGTGAATAAGAAATTTCACACATGAACTTTGATACCTTACTTTCAAAAAAAGTCTTTTAACAAATGTTTGGATATGGTGCCCATTAGAAAAATTCTGAGTTTTCCTTCCCTATTTAGCAATATCAGAGAAAAAAGATACGTGGTTATGGAAAGATCAGCTCCTATATGAAAACAGTCAAATGGCAAAGTCTTTCTAAGCTTCTTAAATTTTATTCATTTGCAAATATTTATGAAGCACACATTTTGTGCCAGGGCTGTGCTAGGAACAGGGAATACAATGGTGACTAAGAGTTGGTTTCTGCCTTTACATAGCTTACACATAAAAAGGAAGAACACAGCTAACCAAACAGTAATAAGATAGAGCAATTCAGCAACAGAGCAAGCACAGGGTCCTACAAAGGCATAAAACAGAGCTACCTAAGTTCACTGGTGAGACAATAAGGAGAATTCAGGATGGCTCTTTCAAAAGGAGCTTAAACTCACATAGCAGAAAAGGCAAGGAGGAGCTAGAAGTGAGAAATGGCCAGCCCAGACCTGAATTATGGTAGTTAATGTGGGGGGAGGAATGAAATTACCTTCTAGGTTCTTTTGGCTAGTCTAATAATTAAATCAACATGTGGAAGATTAACAAGAGAAAATAACCAAATTTAATTACATACAAATAGACAAGAAGTCTGAGACCCACTGTCCCGCCAGACCACTGGGAGAAGGTAAGGCCAGGGAACAGGTCGGACACTCACAAGAGGCAACCACTCGTTTCTCTCTCACATCAATGTTTCTCTCCCTCTCCTTCCTTTCCCCTCTCTCTAAAATCAACAAGCATGTTCTCGGGTGAGAATTGAATAGATAGATAGATAGATAGATAAATAAATAAATAAATAAATAAATAAGAGACCTAAAAAGCGGGGGGGGGGTACAATTCACAGATTGATAAAAAGAGTAGATATCCAGTAGTTAGATGTAGATGCTTGCCCTGCCCTCTAAATAAGTTTTGTTAATAATTCCTGTTATGAACAAGGCCCCCAATTTAAAATTTAAGGGACAGGTAAAAGTTTCTCTTGAACCTACAAGGTCTCGATTACCTTCAGCTCAAAATAACTTCCATGCCACAGAGGCACATCTTGGAGCAACTCATTCTGATCCCCTCCACTAACATGTACTGAATGTTCGTGAAATGCCAGGAAGTGTTTTAAATGCTCTATATGTATAAATTCATTTAATCTTCAAAAACACAAAATAGGCACTATTATTATTCCTATTTTACGCATGAGGCAACAGATGCACAGAGGTTAAAACAATGGGTTTAACTACTTCCTTATAACTCAGAGGGACAGAGGAGCAGCTAGCTGATCCTGCCCAGACAGAAAAGCAAAACAAGCACTTCACAGGCATTATTTTCCTGGTGCAATTAGAATAGAAAGTTCCACTTACAAAATAATTCTAGAGAAAGATGTGTAACCTCCTGCAACATTTTGTGTTAAGAACAAAATTTTCTTGGCCGTAGTCTGTACTGCAGGCGACATATTCACTTACTAACAGGAATCTGTAGGTCACTGCTACAGATGAGGAGCTTTCCAATAAGAAAGAACAAGTCAGACCCCCTGCTTGACACCTGCTACTCGTAAGTGAAATGACACTGACACTAAAGTATATTAAACTTTAAGGCTCATTCTTCATCATCTATAAATGAGGGGGAAAAATCTACCTTTCAGAGTTATTACAAGAAGACAACACTGATGATGAAAACACAGACAATAATAAAAAAATACGTAGTGCTTACTATGTGCCAGGTGCTATCAAATAACACTTTTGATTCTCACAACAAATCAATAAAATAGATACTATTTTCATTACAATCAGATACATTTCAGGGAAAAAAATGTTTACTGTAGAAAAAGATAACTCTCTCTGGGAGATTAAATAAAAAGAGCAAGTTTTGGCAGGTGGTGGGCAACAAAAGAGCCTACGTAAATGGACCGTACCTTTAAGACAACATAAACACCCATAAATGCAGTAAAAAGGTTATACCACCGATTTAGTGAAAGAGTGCCACCTGCTGAAACTTTCTCAAATAATATAGTTGCAATCTTTTCTGAAAAATAAAACTTTGGTTTATGAAGATTAGTATAACTTCAACAAAGTAAAACAATGAACATAAAATCACCCCACAAAAAAATTTCAATAAAGAAATAGCAAACCTGAATTCTACTAGTGTCAACTTGCTGTTCCTGGCATACATAGTGGCTCAAAAAGTGTTTGCTGAATGAACTGAAACACACAGAACTACTAAGTTATCTTAAAAATCCTGTAATTATTACCTTATTTAGAACCAAAGCATACAGGTTGTTCTTTTCTAAAATATTAGGTTGGCCAAAAAGTTCATTTAGTTTTTTCCATACAATGGCTCTGGTAGTGCTTAGTTGTCTTTAACTTCACTGGAGACAATTTTGTTAGACTGCATTATGACAGCTGTGTATCAGCATGCCTTTAAAAAAAATAATCAGAATTGGTGAATTTTTGTGTAGCCATTTTAATACTGAAGATGGAAGAAAATATGCAACATTTTGGGCATACTACCCTTTATTATTTCAAGAAAGGTAAAAACGCAACTGAAACACAAAAGAAAGAAAGAGAAAAAGATCTGTGCAGTGTATGGAGAAGGTGCTGTGACTGACTGAATGTGTCAAAAGTGCTTTGCGAGGTTTGTTAGGTGCTACTGACATTTTTGACCAAATAATTCTTTGCTGTGCGGCTGTCTTATGCATTGGAAGATGTTTAGCAGCTCCCCTAGCCTCTATCCACTAGAAGCCAACAGCAGCAGATAGCCGACATACTCAACATATTCAAATCAATCAAGGTACTGGTGAAAATGAAAAATGTGTCTTTTATGGAAAAAACTAAATAAACTTTTTGGCCAACCAATATGTAATAACTATTACCCAGTCTCCTTCAATTTCCACTTCTCAAGTAATAATGACTAACATTCTTGAGCACTTAGGTCAGGCACTGTTCTAAATACTTGACATATATATGAGTTCTCATGACAATCTTATAAAGTCAGTATTAGTATCTTCATTTTATAGAGAGGTAAAGTAACTGTCTCTCAAATGGGCAGAGTGAAGATTCAAACCCAAGAGGTCTGGCTCCAGAGCATTATGCAAAACTGCTCTGTAGCCTCTTAGTATGTGGTAGGGTGATCTAGTCACTAAAGTAGAAACAAGAGGTTTACCAAAATGGGAATAATAGTACCTGTTGATCTCCCGTGGATGCCTGTAAACTTACACTGAAGCTCTGTGACACAGGCCAAAAGAACAGAATTATGGTTAGGCTTTAGATTAGAAATGGGCTTGGAAATTTATGCCTTGTATCTGGCCCCCAAATGCAAGGGGCCGTGATGGGCAGGGCCATGTCTTATCACTTATTTTGCTTTTATACTTTAACTGATGATTGCCATAAACTCTTAGTGCTCTGATCCCAAATAGGTAGTGCATAAACCTAGGCTACCAAAAAGGAGGCCTAATTTGAGGTTTTGGCTCAGCAAAGGTGGAGAAAATGTATCTATACATCTGAATGCACTTCCATGCACTACAATGGGAATGTCAACATCTACCTGGAGGTAAGCCTCTACCACTCCCTCCCACTTTGTCCATCCAGCTTCTAACCAGCCTGTACTCCCACTGTCAGGATGGGCGGGGTAGGACAATTGGGAACCTAGTTACAATTAGCATTTTGGACTACAAATAATGTGGCAAGTGAACTCTGACCTGGAAGAGGTGGTGACGTCAGACCAGGAGCCACCAACGATATGTAGCTTTGCTCACCAAGAACCAATCCTTGGCTCCTGCGCAAAGTCAAGCCATATAAAACTCCCACCCTTTCCCTTCTCCTACGCGGGTCTTTTCTTAGCCCTTTCTCCAGGCGGAGAAAACGTAGCCCAGGAGCACAAACTTCCAAAATAAAACTTATCTGCCTGTTTCCATGGCTAATTGGCTGTTTATTTCCTGGCGGGCGGGGGGGGGGGGTGTCTAAGAAAATCTTACACCCACTATTTTCTACTCACAGGTGGGGTTCTAGATCAGCTTATATTCTTAATGTTCCAACAACACTCTACCATTCCATCTTTGCCGAAAAACATTTCCCCCACCAATCAAGAGCTCTGCCCTCCTCTACAAACTCTACCTGTCCTTAGAGTTACACTTTCTTCTTTTCTCCAGCAATGAAAATCTCCAGTAATTACTGTCTTTCCTGCTGTACTTACTACCTGTATCACTTAAATCAGCTTTTTCAACTACACTGGGAATTCCTTGAGAGCAGGGAGTCTCTGTAGCTCTTTCTGTCTTTGAAGCTGGGTGATGCTGTAGTTGTTTATTAATTCATTCAATGCTACTGTCAGATTCTGTTCTAGGCATTAGATTTTTTTTAAAAAAATCCCATTTATGTGGAGCTTATACTATATTGGAGAGGTCAGTCACCCAATAAATGCGTAATGTTCGTTAATGGAGAGTGCTACAAAAACAACAAAACAACGGGAGATGAAGGGTCAGAGTGAGGTGGTGGGTGGTATTTTAAACAGGAAAATCCTCAGGGAAATCCTCAGGAGGCGATTATGAGCTGACAAGCAGTCCATAAGTGCTCTACTTGCTGCATTCACATGAATTAAATCTTTGTGAAACGGGCGGTGTAGGACAAAGAGCTGGAACTCAGCATCAACTGTTCTGGTTCTGCCGAAGAGCCTTAGTTTGTTCAGTGTTTTTACTGTCTATTTGCACTGGGAGCTTTACAGGACTACGGGAACGATCAAGCATAATTAAAGTTAGGAAGTGCTACAATACTGCACGCCTCTGCAAATCCAGGGACACGACGAGCAAGGGATTTCTGCTCGATTCACCACTTAAACAAGGATTATAGAACGAGCGAACTTTTTTGCCTGGCTCAGAAGCTTAGGATTCAGAGGACCGTGAAGGCAGGTCACTTCACAGTGCGCCAGGTTTGGGTGTGCCGAGGGCACCCGGCGCTAAGTGGCCGAGACCCAGCTTTAGTGCTCCATTTCCGTGACACGAGCAGCCCCGGTCCCACCCGTGCCCGCCCGCACTCACCAATGGGCTTGTCCAGCCTCATGAGACGCAGGTAAGGCTGCAGAGGGCGGGGCGCCGACTCCACGACCCCGGCGGCTGACAGGCTGAACTGACGTACGCGCGGGCCCCGCTCCCCGGAGGGCTGCGGGTCTCCAGGGCCAGGCGCGCCAGCGGAGCGCGCCAGGGCCAGGGAGCCGCCCCGCGAACCCCACAGCCAGGCCTGTGTCCTGGCTCTCAGGCACCGTGCGAAGCCCGCGCCCCCCGCGCCCAGCATGGTGTCGGGAAGTTTTGTTACGCACCAGCTTAACGTCGTTTCCGGGCGTCGGGTCACGGGTGGGCATGCGCAGTGACACGGTGAGATGCCCGTTCGCGCCTATTCGCTACGGTGCGGTCTGGGCAGTGGTGTGGTTCTCCTCTTTTAAGTAACCTGAAAGAGGGGTGGTTGTCACTTTACCCGGGAATGCGGTCGCCTTGCACTTAGCGTAAAAGAATTCCTGTTATCAGCTTTTGCAGTTTTAGCAGGAAAAAGACACGCAACAAACCTACTGAATCCCAAATGTTCATTTGCAAGTAGGTGGTTCCATTTTTAAAGCGAAAAGGACACCAAGAGGCCAAATCCAAGAGTGTAAGTTAAATCTGTACTCAGAGTTAAAGAATAGTCATTACACAAGTGAATACCTTATTTTAACAGTATAATTCAAAGGAGCTGGTATAATTAAGAGCCGTGGAATGTTTGGGAAGCTAAGAGCCTGCAGCTAGAACAGCCGGTTGGCTCTAAATTTCTTGGGTAGCCATGTGTGCCAGTCACTGTTTCAGTTGCTTTACACGTGTTAGCCCATTTAACCACTTACTAAGTGACCATGGGCAAGTCACTCATCTGGATTTTAGTATTCTAGGGAATTAGATTAGTCTTTAAGTGTCTTTCCTTAAACCCCCAACCTGGCGATGCCGCGATATTTTGAGTCCCCATTGGTGGTGTTACCAGACAGGAGCCTAACCCTGAGCGGGTCTGCCTACTGCCAGCTGGTACTGTGTAGTTTCTTAACTTCATGTAGGAAAGATTTCATAACACAAGCTCAGGTGACTATGAGGGTACATTTATTAAAGCGGGGGACAGTAAAACAAGGAGTAGAAGAAGAAACAGGAGAGCCTAGGATGGGCAGCCGCCTTAGCTAACTGGGAAGTCAGAGAAAAGAGAGCTTTGGAGACAGGTTCAGGGGATTAGCCTGGGACAATGTGCCACTGCCCATTGCCTTGAGTTTAGGAGACACATGCTTTGTTTGTGGGGAAAGAAGTGGGGGGGGGGGGTGAGAGGAAGGGAAAGGAAATGGCAGGGCCTGCTCCCCAGAGAAAGAGCTCTGAGAGCTGCATCTTTGTAGAGGCTTCTCTCTCTCTCTCTCTCTCTCTCACTCACTCACTCACTCACTCTTCTCCTGGGGAAAAGGTGTGTGAATCTTATGCAGGGTCTCAGGAGAGTATTCATTAGGCTTTTTATCAGCTCTCCAGGTCCTTTCAGGGCCATGGCCTCCACTGATTAGTGGGTGACAGGGCAGTGGTTCCTTGGCCATTGCATCTGGTCCTGCCATCACCCATCTGGTGTTTTGCTGCTCTTCTGGGTGTGTAGCTGAAATACAGCTGTGGCCTAGGTGTTATCTCTAGGGATTACTTTTTGTATGTGGCTGTAAATTATTCCACAAAGTTGTTCAGCTATATGTCTCAATTTCTCTATTCCACTTGCCAAAGAATTTTCCTAGCTTCTTACTATCCTGTCTCAGTGTTGCCCAGGGGCATTCCTTAATAATGCTACAAAACTAACACACAACTCATTCACCAATTGTAGACAGAGGGATCCAAGCACTGGGAAATCTTATTGTACAGGGTCAGGTAAAAATGGGTTTATAGTTGTGAGTATGAGAAACACAGAGTTTATTTTTCTATTAGTATTTATTAATTATTGTATTATTTTCCATATGAACAACTAGAAACCTACATTTTCTCCCACCCTGTATACTGGTAACAGAAAAAAAAAATACACTTCTTTCTGTATGTGTTTCCTCTACTCTAATTCTACTACAACACTGCTCCATTTCTGACACCAAGTGTGTGAATTTTCCATATGTGAAGCAGTTGAGACACCACCTAGGTGGCCTGTGACATAACTCAATTCTGGTACTACCTGGGCATAGCATCAGATCCCATGGATTAAAGGCTCAATTCCACAAGACTGCCCCTCCTCGCCACTGCAGATGCTATGGCTAGGAGGTACCCGCAATCTCCTTCTGTGGTTTGACTTAATTTGCTAAAGTGAGTCAGGGAATTTAGGAAACATTTGTTTACTAGAATACCAATTTAGCTGGATGGAAGAGATACATGGGGCAAAGCATGCAGGAAAGGGCACAGAGCTCCCATGACCTCTCTAGGCATAAGCCATTCTGCCCACACTTCCACATGTCCACCACCCTGGAGCTCTCTGAACCCCATCCTTTTGGAGCCTTGTGGAGGCTTCATTAGAGGCATGATTGACTAAATCACTGACCATTGGTGATTGAACTTAATCTGTAGTTCCTCTCTGCTTTGAAAGTTGGGAGTGGGACTGAAAATTCCAAACCTCTAATAACATGGTTGGTTCCTCTGTCAACCAGCTTTCTCCCTTCAGGACTTCCCAAAAGTCCCCTCAAAAGGGGCTCCTTATAAATGACAAAAAACACTCCTATCGTTCAGGAAATTCCAAGGTTTTTAGGGGTTTTGTGCCAGGAATTGGAGACAAAGACTAAATATATTTCTTATATCACAATATTATATAAGTACATAAATATTCACTACATTCTACATATAAATATTATATATTATACATATACAATATGTATATTGAAGTCTGAAGAAGACTTAAAGGTATAGCAATTTTGTGGCTATTATCAACAAGACAAGTAATAAAAAGTGTTGGAAAGGTTATGGAGAAAAGGGAACCCGAAACTTCCGGCAAGATGGAGGCATAGGTGGATGTACCATACCTCTACACATAACCAAGATTAGAACAACAACAATTTAGAGGCAGAATAACACCCAGAACTGATAGAGAATTTATCTGAATGGAAGTTGGACAGCCAAAAAGTTGAAATAGACCCGTTCATCCAGACCGGTAGGAGGGGCAGAGATGAGTAGCCGGGCGTGGGTCTCGGTGTGAGGAGAACAGGGAGATCTGGGTGCATATGGCAACCAGGAGCACGTAAGGCATCCGGGGTGTGCAAGATCACAGAGGGTGGACCCTGAGTACACAAGCAACAGCTGGTGGACCCAGTGAGGCAGCGATTGTGGACCAGGGCAGAGCACGCAACCCAGGATCCCAGGGAAGGGACTGAGGTCCCAAGAGAACGGAGCTACCGACGTCCCCTCCTGCACCCGCCTCTGCCCCCGCCCCCACATACAATGTCACAATCTGGCGACTGGGGTGCCCAGCCCCGGTGAACACCTAAGGCTCCGCCCCTCACCTTAACAGAAGCGACCAGACCCCCCCCCCCAAAAAAAAAAGAGAGAGAGAGAGACATGTCTCAAACAGAAAAACAGATCAATGCCCCAGGACTCATCCTTTTGAGCGACCAAGAAATAGCCAATCTATCAGATGCACAATTCAAAACACTGGTGATCAGGAAGCTCACAGAATTGATTGATTTTGGGCGCAAATTAGATGAAAAAATACAGGTTACCATAAAAGAGATGAAGGAAGATGCACGGAGAACCAATAGTGATAGGAAGGAAACTGGGACTCAAAACAATAGAGTGGACCAGAAGGAAGAAAAAAACAACGAAACAGGAAAGAATGGAGAAATATGAATTCAAAAAAAAAAAAACAAGGAGAAGCTTAGGAACCTCCAGGACATCTTTAAACGTTCCAACATCCGAATTATAGGGGTACCATAAGGGGAAGAGGAAAAACAACAGATTGAACACATATTTGAACAAGTAATAAAGGAGAACTTCCCCATCCTGGTAAAGGAAATAGACTTCCAGGAAATCCAGGAAGCTCAGAGAGCCCCAAAGAAGTTGGACCCAAGAAGAAACACACCAAGGCACATCATAATTACATTAGCCAAGGACTAGCCAAGAAGCAGCAAGAGATAAGGGGACAGTAACCTACAAAGGAGTTCCCATCAGACTGTCAGCTGATTTCTCAAAAGAGACCTTACAGGCAAGAAGGGGCTGGAAAGAAGTATTCCAAGTCATGAAAGAGAAGTACCTATATCCCAGATTACTCTATCCAGCAAAGCTTTCATTTGGAATGAAAGGGCAGATGAAGTGTTTCTCAGATAAGGTCAAGTTAAAGGAGTTCATCATCACCAAGCCCTTATTTTATGAAATGTTAAAGGGACTTATCAAAGAAAAGAAGATAAAGAAAAAACATGTATAGTAAAATGACAGCAAACTCACAATTATTAACAACCACACCTAAAGCAAAACCAAAAGAAACTAAGCAAACAACTAGAACAGGAACAGAACCACAGAAATGGAGATCACATGGAGGGTTAGCAACAGGGGAGTGGGAGGAGGAAAGAGGGGGAAAAGTAACAGAGAATAAGTAGCATAGATGGTAGGTAGAAAATAGACAGGGGGAGGGCAAGAATAGTATGGGAAATGTAGAAGCTAAAGAACTTACAAGTATGACACATGGACATGAACTAAAGGGGGAATGTGGGTGGAAGGGGTGTGCAGGGTGGAGGGGAATGAAGGAGGGAAAATAGGATGACTAATAGCATAATCAATAAAATATATTATAAAAAAATAAAATAATATTTGCTAAAAAAAAAGGGAACCCACATTCACTGCTGGCAGGCATGTAGACTGGTACAGTCATTTTAGAAAACAGTCTAGTGGTTCCTAAAATTTAGGAATAGAGTTACCATATGACTCAGTAATTCCTTTCCTGGGTACCTACCTGAAAAAGTCTAAAACATTTACTTGCCAAGATATATGCTCTCCCGTGTTCATTGCAGCATTGTTAGCCGTGGCCAAGGCATGGAGACAACCAAAGTGTCCTTTGATAGAGGATTGGATAAAGAAGATGTGGTATATATGTACAATGGAATACTACTCAGCCATAAGAAAAGATGAAATACCACCATTTGCAACAATGTGGGTAGACCTTGAGAATATTATGCTAAGCAAAATAAGTCAGTTAGAAAAAGATAGGGACCATATGATTTTACTTACATGTGGGATATAAAACTGAGACTCCTAGACACAGACAGCAGTACGGTGGTTACCAGAGGGAAGGGATTTGGGTGGGGGTGGGGAGTGTAAAGGGGGCCAAATTTTTGGTGATGGA